AACCGATTCGAGAAGGAGAAATCAAAAAAGCTATTTTATCCCTTAAAAATAATAAGTGTCCTGGTCCGGATGGTTTCATAAATGAGTTCTATAAATGTTTCACAGATCGTGTTACTCCACTTTTACTGGAAGCATATTGCCATTCTTTAGAAACTAAAACAATGGCACCATCCTGGTCCGATGCAACAATAGTTGTATTGCACAAAGAAGGTAAGGACCCCACTGATTGTGGATCATATAGACCATTATCTATGCTCAATGGGGACGTACATATTTTGACAGGTATTTTCTGGCTAGACGCTTAAACGGCATAATAACTCAAATCATACATTCGGCTCAAAATGGATTTATTGCCGGGAGGCATTATGGAAATAATTTACGTTGTTTATTAAATATTATATCTCGCCAACAAGAAAATAAAGCTATACAGCTGTAATATCTCTAGATGCCCAAAAGGCTTTTGATCGTGTGTCAAGGAAATACCTTCTTCAAACATTAAAGAGGTTTAAATTCGGACCTAAGTTTCTAGATTGGATACATATGTAGTGATGTAGGGACAGCTTTGCTGTAGACACACTACTAATTAATTATTCTTAAGCTAGTTCAAGCACAAAGAATATTAATTGTTTAATTACAATGGATTCTTTCTTTTTCGAGTTAAATTTCTGCCATGTGACCGAGATAACTGTGAGGATCGTTTAATCAGTGACATGAGACGCCATTTTATCTTTGACCCATCAGAATAAATACGGTCATTTATTTAACAAAATCAAAATTTAACATAAAAACATGTACACATTGATTTGCTGATCTGTTTCTGATTAATAAAAACTTGGCACGCTTTACTAACAAGACAACAGAACATTTCTGATTGAGGCTGATTCACCTCTGAAGGCATCTAGATTACTGGCAAATAGAAAAGTTTAAGAGAAGGAATAGATTTAAACGGAAGATGGATGAAGGAAGATGTATGTTTGTTGACCAGAATTAGCACTCTTCTTTCAACACCCCGCTCAGCTTTCCGGTACACTTCAGGACGTGCAGAGACTTTGTTACCTTAGATGGGGGCTACCTCCACTCCGGAACAGAAGTCCATTAGTACGATCCCTTTACAGCGTCTCCGGTTAAAGCGGCTGGTCATCGTCAGAAGTCGTGTGGTTTACTCCGTTCAACAGAACAAGCTTCCTTCGAAGTTGTAGGGCATTATGCCCGGGTGAGTTCACAGCGAGGCGCTGTGACTCCGCTGGGATGGACGGACCCCTTTGCACATGGTCCCATTCCATCAGCTTCTCAGTTCAGCTGGAAGACTTCATAGCTCCACTCAGAAGTGGAAGACTGAGTCCGAAGTTCCACTCAGAAGTGAAAGACTCCGGTGTAAGACCCAAGGAAGACTGAGGAAAACTGCAGGAAGACTCAAAAAGACTCCATAGTCCCAAGAAAGACTCAAAAAGACTGAATAGTCCCAGGAAGTGTTGACTTTTTAAAGAGTACTCACTTCCTGTCAATTGGTACTTCCTGATTGGTTGAAACAACCAGCAGGGGCTGTTCTAGTGATGTCAAGAGGTTATTAAAAGTCAAGAGAGGATGCAGGAATGTTTAGGAACGGTTAGTACAGACAGAGAAATGTTTATGAAGAGGTAAGACACGGCAGGTGCCAGTTGAAGTTATTTACTGTCTGCTAGTTTTTAAAAACAAGACACTTCGTTCTAATAACTCGTCTGTCTGTCTGTCTCTGACTTTCGACCGACATCACTACTCCTCATTCAGACAGAAGATCAAAATGCACAATTACTTTGTAAATAGACATTTAACTTGATTGCTAAGTCTAAGGAGGTTTAAAAATCATTAATACTGTTTCACAGTTGATTTAAAATGAGTGGTTCACTTCAACATTTAGAAATGGTATGAACTAAACACACTTTGATTATCAAGATATTCTAAAATAGTAATGATAATGTAAAAAAGAAGAGTGTTCTTTCAATTGATTAATTCAGGATACAATTAAATAGTCTCTTGATGAGATCATTTGTATTTCTGGATTCAAATCAATGAAATAACAGTTCTTGTCCCCTGAAGGTCTTCAGAGACAGGTTGAGGTCGGAGGCCTAGTTCACTACACATACATTATACTCATCCCCACAAGCGGCTATGAGAGTTAATGGCTTCAGGTCGGCTAGTTTCAAGCTGGAGCGTGGATGTAGGCAGGGGTGTCCATTGTCACCCCTGTTGTTTGCAATTAGCAATGAGCCATTGACCCAACTCATTAGGGACAATGATAAAATCATTGACTAGTACAGAGGAACATAAAATATATTTTTACGCAGATGATGTCTTACTGTATCTATCCGATCCTACATTATCAATGCCACGCTTGAAAAGAATGATTTCTGAGTATGGGTATTTTGCTGGATATAAAATAAATGTTGATAAGACTGAGGCAATGGATGTCGATTGCAATACCCCACTAGTGGTAAAACAACAAAGTGGCTTTAGGTGGCCTAGAGAGGGCATTAAATACCTAGGCATCAATATCCCTCTTTCACTTTGTACTACGCCAACTACAGTAAAACACTGGATATAATTAAGAAGGACCTAGAGCTGTGGTCAGTGTTGCCCTTGTCTCTCCTAGGTCGCATTGAAACTATTCGTATGAATCTTTTGCCCAGATTATTGTATCTGTTCCAAATGTTACCAGTTGGTATACCAAATCCATGTTCGCTGAATTGGATAGAGTGATATCAAAATTCATTTGGCAGAGCAAGCGCCCTCGCATAAAATATAAAACACTTCAGAGAACCAAGGCAGAAGGAGGTCTTAATCTTCCCATTTTAAAATACTACTTCTGGACAGCCCAGTTAAAGCTTTTTGGATCCAGGAGGATTCTCACACAAGATGGTTGAGCATTGAACAAATGAAGTGCTCTGAACCATTAAAGGTATTGCCATTTTTAGATATTCCAGTAAAGGAACTGCCGCTGTGGACTAGAACTACACTTAACATCTGGAACAAAGTAAGAGTTGCTTTTAAGTTGCCAAGAGGCTTATCTATATTAACAAGTATTGGACATATTACATCCTTCACTCCCAATTTCTTAGGCAAAAATTTTTCAAAAAGGGCTGAACAGGGCCTCACATTCCTACATCAGTTAGTCAATAGGAACAACCTCATGTCATTCGAAGAATTATGTGGGCAATTTCATCTCCAAAAAAGTGATTTCTTCAGATATTTACAGTTGCGCTCTTTTTTGGCTACACACAAGGACTGGGAAAGAGTACTAAACCCCACAATAATTGAAAACTTACTTATTCAATTCCAAAAAGGTGAAGGAGATAAGAAATTGATAGCAAAGTTATATAAGGTGTTTCTTTCCATGAATTTTAATGAACCCGCTCAGATAAAACAAAGATGGGAGGCATAGACGGCCAAAGTGATTCCTGATGAAACATGGGAAGGTGTTTGGACTGAGGCACATCAAGTTACAAACTCAAATATGTGGCGGGAATATAAATGGAAAATCATCAGTAGATATTTCAGGACCCCAGATGTAGTTGCTAAGATAGATCCTAAGGTACCAAGCTTGTGTTGGAGAGACTGCGGCTCAGCTGTGCCCAGTCACACACACATCTTTTGGTCATGTCCCAAACTACAAAATCTTTGGGATGATGTGTACAAGGCTTTAAAGCAGATCTTTCAGGAGGTTATACTAAAGGATGTAACGGTTGCAGTGCTCGGTATTACCCCAGTTGGGTTGCAAGGACGAACCAAATTACATCTTTTAAATGTTCTTTTTACAGCAGCCCTGAAATGCATTACAATTAAATGGATGCAATTGGAGCCACCCTCCTACAGCTTCTGGGTTCGGAACGTATGGGAATTGTACCAAATGGAAAAGATAACGACTTCAAAGAGCTACTTTTGATCTGCGCTGGAGACCAGCAGGTCTTCTACTTGTGTAGATGAGTGGGTCTTGTTTGCATGGTTGGATGAGCTCTGCCCATCTGAATGGATACCTGCATGATTATCTGCGAGGGTGGATGGGCCGGCTCTGCCATCCAAAGTGGATTTTTTGATTGTATGATGATTATAAAACTACAAATGTGATGCTGAAATTGTAAAATGTTATGCTGAGATTTTAACTCTACGGAAAATTCACACTGTCAACACTTATGTTGATTACTGCTGGTGTATGACTATGTAATTGCTCTGTAAAAAAATCAATAAAACTAAGTTCTTAAAAAAAAAAAAGCAAATGTTTGTACTTTTCAGTATGAGTGTTCTTCTGGAATGAAATTGAACAAGCAATGTTAGTAAGTCTTCAAGATGTTGAGGCAAGATATACGAGTAGGAATTGCACCGTGTATGAGATACAGTTTTTTTTGTTGGTTTTTTTTGTGTGTCTGAGGCAGTGCAGAGTGACAGATCCTGGTAAGTAGAAGAAGCAATTTTACCCACAACCAGGCACAATGGATCCAGGGTATAGTGGCTAATGGTGGCTTTTGCCAACATAGATTAATCTTTGGCCACCCCAAGGGCCACCCCAATCATTTCAGGAAACTATACTTTCAAGCAATATAAAACCTAGTAAGCATAATTTCCTCAAATATTTGGGGTGGCTGGTTTTCCTGTATGTGTGTTTACATGTGGGTGATGGCGATCTTGGATTTTGACTTAGCAACCCAGTTTTTGATGGTGACCTTTTTTACCCCTGGATGTAGCCACAAACCAAAATGGAAGTCTGTATCTTTTCAAGTTATCAAACTCAACATGCACAAACGAATGGCTAGACAGGCAGAGGATATTTCCAACTCCCCCTCCATTCCACAACAGGGGACAAAAATGGCTTGAGATGACAAGGAAAGGCAAAATACAAATTGGTCAAAATTACTTATATTTTTATTTTTATATATCTTCTGTTTTATTTAAATAAATGTATTTTGTACCTGAGGATTTAATCTTTTTCTCTTAATTTTTAATAATTTGTTTTCATTATCCTAATACAGGTGGAAGCTCTTTGAACAACTTAATTGAACTCAAGACAATTACCATCAATCCCACAGACACTACAGTTCTTCTCCTTACTGAGTGTACTGAGGTTGGTAAACCTTGACATTAACTTGTAATTATTAGCTAATATTGTGCTATTGAATAATTCCTGTGTTTCTTTTCAGTTTCATAGATACATTGAGGTTGCAATCAAGCAGTGTCGCAGCTCTGGTATAGACTGCAAGATTCACGGACTTCGTATTGTGGGGCGCATCAGAGCAGAGGATGAAGATTTGGCTACTGTTCCTTTCTTAGCATCTGACAATGAAGAAGATGATGATGAGAAAACCACAGCTGGGAGGTAAGACAGCTGAAGGAGTACATGTAAAAGTGCTAAAACATCCAGAATTACAATTTTGTTTGTAAAAGTCAACATTTTTGTATTTTCTGATTCAGTTAAGTACCTTTGATTTATTTCCCTAATGAAGAATAACTACAAGATTATTCTGACATATAAACTGTCAAATTCTAACAGCTTTAAATTATGTTTTGTTTTGTTTTTTTCCTCCCAGTCTTGCTCGTAAGAAGTCAGCAGGATTGGAGTCAGCAGCTGTCATCAGGACCAAAGTGTTTGTTTGGGGTCTGAATGACAAAGATCAGCTTGGAGGACTCAAAGGCTCGAAGGTGCAGTTGGCCTCGAAATGAAACAATAAATCAAGTTTTTATTTATTTGTATTTTTTGGCCATGTAATTTCAAAACTAATTAAGAATAATAGGACATTTTTGAAAAAAAAAAAAAATTAATAAAATCAAAGTTAAAAGTTCTTTAGTTAAATTTAAATTGAAGTTTTTTGAAGATATGCAGATTTTTATTTTCTGTTTTGTGGAATATGGTATTTTTATAAAAGTACATTTTCTAATCTGTTTGGTTTAACAGATTAAGCAGTTAAACGTTAAAAAAGATTTATTTAGTGTATTTCTTTTTAGCATTTCTTAAAAATATATACATAACTATTTGTTAGATTATAAAGGTAGAAAAATTAAAAATCCTGCATTTATGCAGAGCGTCTGGATTATTTTAATAAATGTTTAAATCTCTTCAGTGTGCAGCTTGTCACAAATACTGATTTAAGTTTATATACATGTTCAAACTCTACCAGATGTTTACAACTTCACCAGTTCAGAAAACTGAGCGCAGCTGGAAACAGACACACTGTAACGAGAACTTTGACAGCAGTTTAACTTTTCAACTGCTTTTGCGTTCTCCACAGATTAAAGTTCCTTCCTTCTCTGAAACACTTTCTGCACTCAGTGTGGTGCAAGTGGCTGGTGGTTCCAAGAGTCTCTTTGCAGGTAATTTAAGAATACTATTTTATTGTTAAATAATCTTTATATATCGTGTTTTGTTTCTTACTGGTGAATGTATTTTGTAGTGACTGTGGAGGGAAAGATTTACGCTTGTGGAGAGGCCACCAACGGCAGGTTAGGTCTGGGCCTGTCTAGTGGGACCATCCCAATCCCTCGTCAGATCACTGCACTCAGTAACTACGTGGTAAAGAAGGTGGCTGTGCACTCTGGTGGACGCCACGCCATGGCCCTTACTGTCGATGGGAAGGTCTTTTCCTGGGGCGAAGGAGACGATGGCAAACTGGGGCACTTCAGTAGAATGTAAGTTTATTTACAAGTGTGCACTGCACAGCTCAGAGACTGTTTCTGGCTAATTCACTTCTATTTTAGGACAGTGGAAAATGTTTGATAACAATGAAAACAAATATGGGCTTCCACTAGAATAATTTGACAAATTACAGTATTAATTTAACTTAGTATTGTTGTAAACAAAAACTGTTCTTTTTCTTGTCAAGATTTAATTAGAATGTGTGATGAACAGTTGAGGAAACATCTGATATTTCCTTTAAGGAACTGTGATAAACCTCGGCTGATCGAGGCATTGAAGAGCAAGCGTATCCGTGACATCGCCTGTGGCAGCTCTCACAGTGCTGCAATCACCTCCAGCGGGGAACTCTACAGCTGGGGTTTAGGTGAATATGGCCGCCTTGGACATGGAGACAACACCACTCAGCTGAGGCCTAAACTGGTATGCACATGGTTTTCATTTATCCCTTTAACTTTTCAGAGGCAGATATTATTACAGTAGTCCCTCGTTACTTCTCGGTTTGTTTTTTGTGGACTCGCTGTATCGCGGTTTTTCAAAATAAGATTGAACATGACATGGACATGAGTTATGGATGAGCCGCATGATCAGCATGGAATTTTGTATTTTAAATTAATTATTTAAAATAATTTAGCACCTGCTGCACTGTGTGCAGCCCTCACTGCAGGAGAAACCTCCTGCAGCTCCTCCCCCTCCTTCTTCCTCCTCTGTCGATCTCCGTTCTGCAGCAGAGGAGTGGGGGTAGCTGAGAGTGCAGAGTTCAGCCATGGCAGAGAACTGAGATCATGACATGCTGTGCTCTTTTAGAGCGTTTAGAGTTTAGAAACATTGTTTAGAATATTGCAAGTGTGGAAAGAGTTTAAAACGCCTTTATATATTTACATATACATATATATATATATATATATA